TATCCCAGTAGCCCATTTTCACCCATAAAGTGATCTATGGCTCATACTTGCTGGTTCATGCTTGGAAATTCAGGAGCACTTTCTCTGTAAATATCAGATTATGAATCTGACAAATGAGAAGACAATATTCAAGTGGGATATATTTGCATATAATCAATTTGCTAGCAGTTAAAAATCTATAGTTTTGATGCACCATGCAATTCTCTGTGCCGTATCCTAAACTGTAAAATATATGAAAGTTACCCCACCTGTCCCATCACGCCTACTTACAGACATCCTAATGGCTAAGCATGTGGGCTCATTTCTCAAGATCTTTTTAATCTTATTCCAAATGCTGCCTGACCCAACTCCATGAAACTTCAAACACAGAACATTGTCTCTTGCCCTTCTATCTAAAATGATGGTAACTCAAATCTTGGCCATTTAGCTTAGAAATCAATGTAATTTATTGCTGTTATAACTATATATAATCCCACCCATGCTGGACCAGATGCAAAGAGGCTTTGTTGCTGTCATTATGATTTTTCTGCTTTCATTTGGGTAATTATATTTGTAGTCATGATTTTGGAGATAAACCAGTAAAAAAAATTAGTTCATTTTTCCTCTACACAATATATTGTCAGATCATTGCTTACAAAGGGTTGGTGTAAATGTCTGCACCACAGTAATGATGCTGAGTTTTATATTTAGATTCAAGATAGGGAGATTTCAAGGGCATGGCAATTTAGCTATATATGGGTTTGGAATCAATGTCATAAAATTGGTCACAAAATTTTTTATGACTCAGAAAGAGCAAAATGTCTTTTTCTTTTCTTTTTTAAGGAATAAAAGTGCTTCTAGATCTCTTTTGGAATAAAGTACAATTTTCAGGTTCACATTTGAAAGGATTATTAATGCCATTTGCAAACACCAACAAAATAGACTGAACAGAGAGATCCCTCTGGAAAGAGGTTAAGCAAATCATTGAATTCTCCAATCAATAGGAGATAACATCTAAATTCCAGCTTCAAGGCATTGTATTCTCCGGATCACCATGAGATGAGCAAACACAGAACATTAAAGGATGCTTAAGTACTGACTGACACAGAATCTGGTATGTCCTCTACCTGGAAGCCAGATGTAGCCTCTAGGATTTTCCAGAAGACATTCTAGAAGAGGTTGCTGCCATTGACACCCAAGAAAGGCAATTGTTCCCCTTGGGAAAGAACTTTCTATGGAATTTAGGCCCTGGGACCAAAACCTACAAGGCATTTATTACTAGATGAAATGATAATTTTAATAAAAGTTGCAATAACCATGAAAATAGTGTCTTTGAAAATCTATGTACTATTAGTAACAATGCATGCATAGTGCCAAGCATTCATTAACTATTTGGTCATAAAAATATGTGACTGTAATTATGATATTTACAGCCAACGTACAAAAATACATCTAATTCTGAATGGCAATGGTTAATCTCTAGCTCTAACCACAAGCCTAGAAAGATTAGCTTATTATGGGAAGGTGCAATGGGTAATTACAAAATGGACAAAGCTCTCACTCTCTTGAATTCAACATTCAAGAATGGCTATTATAGCAACATAGGAGCTTCATTTGTCACAATTCTTCTTCTAAGCTCACAAGGTAAAACCAAAAATTCTGTGGGAATAAATAGGAATTAAATGGGAAAGGAACACTCACATGATACAACCACAGTGGAGAATAATTCTTTCATAGAATATTCATGCACAACTTTCAAAGAGGTTCACAGTCCCTGAAAGAATTAATTGGATGACCTTTAAGTACACCCTTCATTTAGAAAAAAGTCAGTAAGGTTGAAGTTAACATATGATTACCTTTAAGTATAACAGGTTAAGAATTTAACTTGTAGCCAAATCTCTTTCTACAATTTAAGTGAGTACTTCTTTGAAGCTTTATTAACCATTGTGGAGAGTAAGCTCTTATGGTTTCTCCAATTTAAATATAAATTCTGATGGAAGAAAACAAATCCACATTCAGTTTAAATTGCGAAAAGCTGTGGTTTTTACAAACTTGAAACCTCTCACTTTAAGGAAAAAACATCTTCCAACAAAATAAAATATTCTACATATCTGAGACATTTCCTGAAGGTTTCTTCTCTTCTAGGAGTTGATTGACCATCTTCTAGCAGTAGATAAGTTCCTTATTTGGACACCATCATTATTTCACAAGTGGACAAAGAACAGGAGAAAATTTAAAAAACCAGGGAGAGTTGCACACAAGCTATTGAAAAAGGCAGAGGTTGAGTGTTAATCTGCAAATCATGATCTCATATTTTAGAATGTATTTTGGCATTCAGTAAATGGAATTCTTGGAAACATCTGTTCCAGAGTGAGGTTGGGAGGTCATATGATGCTGTTAGAGTCTTCCTGGACTTAAATTACTGCCTGGGGCTGAGTTAGGGCATTTTGAGTGGTATATTCCAGAACCAGAAATTTCATTTCAGTAATTTATTGCTACAGTTCACTAAAGAGTACCATGGTATCCTGGAAAAGAAAATGTCCTTCTAAAACTCCACACCTCTAGTCCCTTGAAAAAGGAGAAATTCATATTTATCTTAGTCACCCTAATCCTTGAAGATATAGCTCTCAAAAGAACTCTTTTTCCTCTTTCAAATAGACACTATTTAAATGACATTAGAAATATCAGTGGTTTGGCAATATATGCCACTATCCCCATATGCATTTGGCAACTGGCATGCTGGATTCTTTCTTTATGTATCATCCTGCAACCTTCTGTGCATGTGCAATTGTAGGTAATTAAGGAAAAAGTAGGCAAGCTTTTTAAAAATTGGTAAATGCTTGGGAGTATGGCATGACCTGGAAAGAAGTAGAATGATACGATAATGGATTTCCTCAGGTGATTACCTCTTATCTTTTGAAAGAGATGTAAAGAGGGGTAAAACAAATCTTCACAAGTAATGAGTAAACTGTGAAAGAAGAATCCCGCCCTCCACCCCCACCCTCCACCAAAAAAACACACCCAATTCTTCAGAAATTTCGGCTTCAGATATGAGATCATGGTCTGCATGTCTACTAGTGCCAAACGCCAGTTCATTCTAGCAGAGCAGTTCAGGAGGTAAAAGGCTAGGGTTATCTGTGACATGACTTCACATATAACGCAAGAATAATAACCCTATGTTTATGGCAATTATTTTCCATACTCGATCCATTGATATTGTGACCAGATGAACACAATTGAAAAGACATACATCATTTCTAACAGGAACTCAATTGCATCAAGGTAGGACAAATCAAACTCCATTTAATAAAATAAAGTTTGGCTAAATTTTTTTTTATTTTATTTTAGAAACAGTTCTCCTTCCCCTTAATATTGCGGTAAACTCTTTATTTGTAAAAGGTACACTGTTTTATTACTTCATTCATCCATAAAGTTGATTTCCAAAGACTACATCTACTATATCTCTTTTCTGAACTTAACTGAGTCCAGGAGATTGACTTTTTTCCTTTTTTTTCCTTAGATTTAATATTTGAGATTCAATTAAAATATACAACCAAAGTTAGTGGGAAACAGTTGCTCTTTTTCAGGTAAAAGAGCTTACTAACAGATTTTATAATCATTGGATATTTGTTCAGTCCTACCTGAAAATTAACTTATTCTACTACTTGGCACAGGAAAAGGCATTTTCTAGTAACTTTCTGTGACAGTAACTTTCTGTGATCCAAGTAAGCATCCAACAGACTTAATCTACCTGCTGGGGAGCAGTTCTAGACTTTAGCTTTTAAACTTTTTTTAAAAAAAGAATTCAGCCTCTGTTCCAATTACTTGCCACCTGTGGAAAGCTACAATCACCCTAGAAGGTGGGCCTACCGAGGAGCACTTTTCAGGTAACAAGAACAATGATATGGCAAGAAGCTACAGAATGATAGTTCAATAGTTGCAGTGACCACCACAATAGTGAGCGTGGCTTGGGTTAATGTTCCAAATATCAATTCAAGGAACACAAGAGATTTTATAGGATTAGAATATTTTCTTTACTCTGAGAACCAATAGATGGTGCATGATGAATGGTGATGGTCCATTTACTCTATATCATTCTACTAGTTTCCTAGCTATGCCTCCTTTCTTCTATAGTAATGTTCTCTCTTCCATGGCAGTATATTTTTATCATCTAAAATGAGAACACTATAACTATTGCATTCTCTCTCTCTCTCTCTCTCTCTCTCTCTCTCTCTCTCTCTCTCTCACACACACACACACACACTAACTAGCGCACCCTTATACACACATGTATAGACAGTACATATAAAATGCTCATTTGCAGTGGTTGAGCTCTCTGAAAGCAGCCAAATCAGCCTCCTTAATTACAGAGAACCATTTAAAGCCAATAAAAAAAACGTGTCAACTATTTAGCTCTAACACAAGATTTTAAACCTTGTCCCTGTGGCAATTAATTCATATGTCCTTGGTATTTTTTTTGCTAAGTCTTCCAAAGCAAGAATCTCAAAGACTGACAACATGATACATAGAATCTAATAGAGTCACATCTCTGATCCTTTTGCTTAACACAGTTGAATGATACTCTTGCTGCTGAAACATGAGTTAATTTTGAATGGCCATGAAGGCTCCTTATTTGGCTAAGGCTGATTTGACTTTCTAGAGAAAGACCAGCCTATCTGCAAATGGACATCTCCCTCCACACAAATGCCAATGTACAGTAAAGACACATCTAAGTGTGTATATATATATATATATATATATATATATATATATATGAATGAAAGTATATGTACACAGAAAATGGATTGGGAAGTCCTTTGGTTTAGACGGGATTAAATATGTACTTCCCAAATGCATAGGTTTCCTTTGACCAACCTGTTCAAAAAACAAATATGAAAAATGCCACGACAGTTTTGACATTTTCTATGTCTATTTCCCTATTTGGAGGCCCCCTTCCCTCTCTTCTCCATCTCTCCTAAGCATTTTCTTTTTGAAAGCAGTTGGTTCTTTTGGACTTCTAACACTTCTTTGACCCATCCATTCCTTGGAAGAGCTCTAAGATCACATCCAGAAACTTATCTTTAGTGGAGAACAAGGTGGAAAAGAAGGTTTCCCCTTCTTTGATTCCCTCTTTCCCCCAAGAAGTGGACACCTTGATGTGTCATGAGGAATTCACTCTTGATCTGACTTGCCTTGTTACCCCTGGCCAGCCCAAGCAGCTGAGGTCTGAGCTTGACTCGCCCTGCATCGTTGTGCCATACTGGAAAAGAAAAATAATCCATTAGTTACACCTTCAGACTGTGGTGACGTGATCAGGGTTCTCTTGAATTTCTATGCATTCGATTTCCTCTCTCTCCTTTCGCTTGGCACGTTTCTTTTTCTTATGGTGCTTTTTGGAAGGGGGGAAAAAGGTTAGGAACACGGGTAAGATAACAAAACAGTGCAGAAGTGTGCAACCCCCGGTGAGCAGCAAGCATTTGAACAGTGTGAAGGTCAGGTTCGAAGGCACAAATAGGAGGGGGACCAACCCGATAAGAAAAGAAGTAATATTTTGCAAAATGGCTGTCCCATGCTCTTGCAGGGAGATTTTTATACATTGTGTCCGGGTGTGCTCGGTTGCTAATACAAACGTGTAAAGCAGTGGTGCACAGTGGTCAATGGCGAAATTTAAAGTGTAGATAAGGCACAAGATAGAAATGCAATCCATGTCGACGTTCCATAATGTCATTAAGCCCAGGACCCCCAGCTCAATTGAGGTGACGCTAAGAATTAGCCAGAAGTTTCCCAGAGGGTGGATCACTAGGAAAAAAGTCAGGATTAACACCAGGAGAACACCAAAGCCTGCGATCAGAACAGGCACTGTGACCGACAAGCCGTAATGGTCCATGAACACAAAGGAGGGGTTGAACACGATGAACCGGATGCTCTTTGACAGGGACAGGGGCCTCAGCTTTTCCAACACTTCTATGACTTCCTTCTGCTTGTCTCTGCTAGTCCTGGCCACCAGGTACAAGCGAGAAGCAATGATGTTGCTCTCATCCCCTGCCTTGGAGAAGATGATGTCATTGCGAAAGTGCTGGAATTCTGGCTTTTTCAGAAATGAACTCTGCAGGACACTGATAAAGTCGCTCTTGTTATTGGCGCTGATGTTGCTGACTTTCAGGAACTGGTAGTACTGCTCCACCCAGGACATTGCAGTGAACCCACTGCAGAGCCTCCGCAGGTCCTCCTGGACGGTGCTGTTCCAATACTGGAGGGGCTCGTAGACATAGAAGCCTATCACGGGGCTGTAGTTGCTGAAATATTTCTGCTGGACCGTGGCATAGGAAACACTCGGGGAATCACTGGCTAGCAGATTGATGATGTTGGCTCTGTCACTGATCTGCAGGCACCCCATGAAGGAGAAGGAGGAGTAGATGAGATAGAGGATGACAACGAAGGGCTTCACGTAGATATTGGTAATCCATTCATTGTAATGCTCACGGAGGAAGTGCTGAATGAAGTGGTGCTGGTAGGGGTTCGTCTCATGGTGGGATGTCTGCTGATGCCCGTCACTCATCACTGTCTGGAACCACACGGGTTTGCGGTCCAGGTATTCTGCAGAAGGGATTTTACAGCAAAAGATGCTGTGGTAGCGGTTTTGCTCTAGTTGGCCAGCGAACACCAGACAGGAGCCAAAGAAAGAAAAAATGTAGAAGTAGTTCAACAGAATGGAGACGCACATGTTCTGACAGAAGACCTTGACAGCCTCTATGTTTGTGAATGGGCTGGCGCCCATGCCAAAGGTAATGAGGTACAGGGAGCTGGTCATGGTATAGGTGACCATCACATCAGAATAGGCATCTGCTACCCTGTCTTTGAAGGGCAGATTTTCTCTGGTTCTCCGCCATCCAGACAGAAGCTCAAATACTCCTTTAGTTCCATGACCTAATTTAAAAAAAAAAGAAGAAGAAGGATTGTTTTTTATTTTCTCCTATGTGAATTCAAGTGAATTCCTGATAGGTTATCTAAGGTAAACAGTATTTTATACTCTAATCCTCCTATCAGAATCTCAGAATTTGAGTTACATAGCAGGACATATTTGCTCCATGTTCCCACTTTAGGAAAGTCCAGATTTATTTGTTGGAAAAAAATGAAGTATTTATTGTCCATTCTATTAATTTGACAAGTTGTAATCTAATGTGGCATTATCTGTGCACACACATTGTCTCCTTAAATGGATCATAAATTGTCAAGAGGAGGGGCTGTTATTCCTCTATCTTCAATGCCCTTCAACACCAACTCAGTGCTTGATCAACTGTTGTATTAACTGATAGTCCCTAACCTCCATTTCAGGCTGATTTACATTCTGATTTAGGAAATTAGATGATTTTAAACACTTAAAAATAGCTTTAAATTGATTTTACAATGTTAATAATCTGCTTGGTGGCCAAATGGCTTAGAAACTGATTCCTATAGATTTGATTTACACTGGATGTGCGAAAAAAAAAATCTGCCAGGTCATATAAAAGATAAGGCAAGACCGTCAGAGCAAGAGATTACAGCCAGCATTTCCTCTGGGCTCCTCAGAGAGCCTTTATTCACAGAGATGTAAACTGACTAAATGTTTGACTGCCTCATTAAAGTACATAGAACATGCTTCTTTTTGTAACCAGCTTCTGTGCACATTTTGATAAGGGTAAATAGACAAAAAAAAGTTTATTCAAAAATACTACTTGAACACCTACTATGTGTTTGAAGCTAATAGATACTGAGATGTTTTATTTCAGGAACTTGACAGCTCTTAAGATACTACCACTTGCTTCTTTTTTACAAAATCAGAAATCATAAAGGTATCATACTATACCTGCAGTTTCTCTCTCTCTTTTTTTTCCACTTGCCTGAGTTAGCTCTGTCAATGATCGGCCACGATATATCAGTCAATAACTGTCTGCCTGAATGGAAATCTTCATAGATCAGTCTTGCCCTTGTAGCCATAGCAGCACTACAGACAAACCTTTTCCATGCATGGACAGAAGCTGTGCTTGGGCTGTTCTCCAAGAAATCCACTAGACAAAAAATGTAGCATAGAGGTACCAAATGAACGAGTTTAAGAAAACCTGGAAAATGGACTTTGTGTGGCACCTAGAGAGTGGAGTTCTGGGTTATAGACCCAGTTTACTTAGTAGTGCTTTAACAAACATACTATCATGGCTGAGGTCTCACTGTAATCATTGATTTTGTGCTGTTCATAGAGTTTGCTAACTGGCCTACATAATTCCTTCCCTTCCTTGTCACTTTTATTTGGAACTACAATGCACACAATTAAAAACTCTATTTCTCAGCCAACCTTTCAAGTAGGGGTGGTTCATGTGACATATTTCTGGACAATGTGATGTCAGAAGAAGTCATTTAAGGTTGCTTATTAGAAAACAAGCCAAAGCTTTGTCCCAAATGACATCATGGAGCCACCAAAAAGAGCCTTAGCCTATCTTCCTCTTGGATTGAAAATCAAATCTCCATTTGTCTAAACAGCTGTAAGTAAGGCGGTTATATGCAAGTGAACCTACTCCTAACCAACAAAGTTTTGTAGGTGAGTTAACACCTACCCAAACTTGTTTCATGGGGATCTAAGAATTCTTGCTTTATAGTTAGACCACGGAATTTATAGGTTTAAATGTATATAATGCTGATCTTTGATTTTAAAGATACATTGGTCCACCTACTCTGGGAGTTACTATTAACTATTAATTGTTATTGCACTGGAGTTATTATTCCAAATAAAAACCTATTTATTCTCCAAAGTTCTCTCTTCTGGGTCTCTAGTCAGGAAAGATCCTGTAACTGAACAAGTAGAAAGGGTTCTGACAGCAATCTCCCTTCTGGGTATCTACCTCCAAACTCAAAAATATTTATTCACAAAGACATATGCATTGTTCATTGCAACATTATTCACAGTGGCCAAGACATGGAGACAACCAAAGTATCCTTCAATAGAGGATTGGATAAAACAGATATGGTACATATATACCATGGAATACTACTCAGCCATAAGAAAAGATGAAATACTGCCATTTACAACAACATAGAGGGACCTTGAGATTATTATGCTAAGCAAAATAAAGGAGTCAGGAAAACCTAAGAACCATATGATTTCACTCATATGTGGAATATAAAACTGAAACTCATAGACACAGACAACAGTATGGTGGTTACCAGTGGGAAGGGGGTGGGGAGTAGCAAAGAGTAAAGGGAGCCAAACATGTGGTGACAGAAGAGGATTTGACTTTGGGTGGTGGGCACATAATGCCATGTGCAGATCATGTGTCCTGGAGGTGTACACTTGAAACCTATATGGTCCTATTAATCAATGTCACCCCAAGTAACTTAATAAGAAAATTACTAACCCAACATATATGATCACTAAATTAAGTCTAATGATTCTTAACATCAATTGTTAATTTCCATATTCTGCAAGTCTCCTTGACCAAACAGGATACTTGTTCTCTTATTCCCTTGACAAAAATGTAATATTAGCATATTAGTTAAGGTAATTAAAATAATTATTTAAAAAGAGCACTTCTCTTCTGAAATGAGGATTCTTGCTATCTTTGTAGCCACAAGGGGAGGGGAAAGCTATGTGGGGCTATAGCTAAATTTGTCTTGCCTTTGCTAATGGTCACTTTTATGGAATATTAGGTACACTTTGTAGGCCAGCGTGTTGCTTTATATAGTACCAAGGTCTGTATGTGTAGGAAGATGTGCTAAACTGTATTAGGTTAAGTAATCACTTTAAGTGTGATAAAGATTGAAAACACAATTTCCAAACTGGAAATGGTATGTTTTATCTCATTCATAGGTTTAGGTGTTTTACAAGGTATTCCTATCAATATTCACTCATTTGATTCTCATCATCATTAGGTTACTTCCTAGCAGTTCATATCTCTTACCTGCTTTAGCCAGGGTAATCTTCTCTCTCCATGAACCTGCCCATGATTAGTCTTATCTTCTTAGTTTTGTTCATGCTATTTTTTTCTGCCATATATAACACCTTCTCTTCATTACTGGTCATTTAATTGAAATTCTATCCATTGGACAGTTAAGGGTCAGCTCAATTCTCATCTTTGCCAAGAATCTATCTCTGAAAATTCCAAACACATTGATTTTTTTCTGATTCCTAAACTCCATTGCATCTAATTAGTAATTCATTTTAACACACAACGATGGGCTGTTTTGCTCTGGAACAAAATGACTTTCTCAAGATATGGTCACTCTCTTTGGTTAGATTGAAAATTCTTCAAGGTCAGAGAATGAATTTTATGTTACTTATACTCTGCAGAACATTTGGCAAAGTGATAGATGACCAGAGATGGCCACTAACCTCTTATTGAATTAAATCGACTGTAATTCTTTAAAAATATGTTTTTATTGATTTTTTTTAGGGAGAGAGGAGGGAGATGGATAGAGAGATAGAAATATCGATGAGAAACATTGATTGGCTGCCTCCTGTACACCCTCCACTGGGTATTGAGCTAGTTCTATTCCTGGGCATGTGCCCTGATCAGGCATCACACCAGTGACCTCTTGGTTCATAGGTCAATGCTCAACCACTGAGCAACACCAGCTGGGATACTATAATTCTTGATGGGCTCAGAAAATGTATGTATCTTTTAAATACTTATTCTTTGTTATAAAAATAATATACTTAAAGCATCATATTATTTGTGTCGAGAAGTTATATACTTTGTAAAAATTAATTTATTTTCTAATTACTGTTGATATACAATATTATATTAGTTTCAGTTGTACAACATAGTGAATAAACATTTACTTACCTCATGAAATGATCATCCAGGTACATCTAGTACCCATATGACACCACATATATAGTATTTACTAAAAAATTATTGACTATATTCCCTATGCTGTACTTTACATCCCCATGAATATTTTTATAACTGGCAATTTGTGATTCTTAATCCCTTTTACCTTTTTTTTTTTTACCACAACCTCCAGCTTTCCTCCCATCTGGCAACTATTAATTTGTTCTCTGTATCTATGAGTTTGTTTCTGTTTTGTTTGTTCATTTATTTTGTTTTTTAGATTCCACATATAAGTGAAATCATATTGCATTTGTCTTTCTCTGTCTGACTTATTTCACTCAGCATAATATCCTCTAGGTCCACCCATAATGTTGTAAATGGTAAGATTTCATTTTTTTATGGATGAGTAATATTCCATTGTATACACAGGGGGAGCAAAAGTAGGTTTACAGTTGCAATACAAATAAATAATACATAAATAATGATACAAGAATAAGCTCTGTTTTGCATGCTCAGCAGAGATTAACTTGCTGTTATAGCAGATTAAGCTATTGTCCAAAACATATATTTTATTTAATGTTCCAAAAGATGACTGACAAATTTTGATTATGACTCCTTTTCACTATATTATAATTTACAAACTATGTCAGAATAATATAATATGTATCTCAGTTGTGACACTATTGAATAACTATTATTTCTTTTGGCAAATTTTCATGAAAGAAAATAGAAAAAGATCTGGACAGAGTTGAAACTGGGAGAAAATTCAAAGAGGAAATGGATAGAAATAAAAGACTTTCTCTGTGTGTGTGTGTGTGTGTGTGTGTATGCGCACATATTGAATATTCCAAAAGTCTTCGGGTATTTTGTTGGGGAAACTTCTTTCTAAATGAAAAAAAAATGGAAGCATTGTGCAATAATAAGGAAAACATACATGAAAGCTTGTGAACATACCTGTATTTGTGGAAATCACCACTGGTCTCAGATGGAAGAGCATTTTGACTTTCTATTGAGCTATAAGCTATGTGACTTCCCAATGCCAACCAAATGAATAAATAATGAATGAAAAAATAAAGCCCCAGTCAACAGAACCAGTGAAGCAGCTGACAAAAACATCTGGATATT